GAGCGTGGCAGCCGTCACATGAGGTCCTGTGTGAGTCATCCCTGAAGGTGATTGGCCAGACTGGACTAGGGCAGGCCAAAATATGTGCACCTTCCAGCAGCCGCGAGAGGTAAACGTTGCGCCCGCATTGGGCCACTACATGTGTTCCTTCCTTCTTCCCTTCCTTCCTGCCTTCTAAGCAACATAGTCCTCTGTTGTAGGATCTGGCCGGCTCCCTAACCCCGGCTCAAATCTCCGAGGCCTTGAACCTGAGGGACATCACGACGCATCACTGGAGCATTTACGGATGCAGCGCTGTTACCGGAGAGAATCTGTTGCAGAGCGTCGCCTGGCTAATTAAGGACGTCTCTTCGAGAATCTTTTCGGCAGAATAGCCCCCCTTTCCCCCAGAACACAAACTGTACTCAGCATCCTGTCCGAGACGGCTATCGCTACTGTTCACACCAAACACTACCGTCTCTTTCGGCATTTACCTGGTTCATTCCGTGGATCATTAAGGCTTCCTACGAGGCTGCTGGTTGACGCTAAGTCAATTGTTTTCAGTTGAGACAATTTCAATACTTGTAAACTTGTTAGGTCCCGGCTACCAGTACGCCAACAGTTGACTTCCTTTGCACAGTTAAGCAACTCCATTGTACTCCTGCTTGAATTGGGAGTTGAATTAAAATTGAAACGTTTCGTTTGCACTTTATTTTTGTTGGCTTATTTTAAGGCGACTTGTCTACAAATGAAACATTGTTAGCTGTCTGCCTCGTTCCTGCTCTTGAAAGCTTGCTTTCTGGATACTTCGTCTCCGAAGTAGTAGATTTACCATAGTCGACTATGCAAGGTTTCCCCAGCCGAAAATCAATGAGGCAGAGCTAGCAGAACGGTGTTACTGCTGCAAGAATGCGTACAGGTGGTTCAGAATGCAGCAGCAAAACATTCTGCTCTACCAATCCGTCTTCCTGGCCTTCGATTTAGGAAACTCCTTGCTGTACACTATCGTGTGCCGGGGATTGGTCATCTCGACTTGATAGGATGCCAAATTGTGCCCTTGCTAGCTTCAGTCCATTAAAACGCAAATCAGAACAGGAAGGAGCGTCTGGGGGCACT